TTTTTGTTTCACCCTTGCTTTCTTTAGGCAGTGAAGTACTGGCTCACAACCTAATCCAATATTCAGGTATTAGGCTTTCTGTTTGTGAGTAGGAGTCAAATCCCTGCATTTTAGTTATTCTGGATTCACCTCCTATTTAAAAGCAAATATAAAATTGAACCACACCAGCTCTTGAGACGAGCCCAGGAGAGAAACCGGTTCCACCCTGGCAAACCACACTGACAGAGACAGGCCCACAAATAGCACTGGATCGACACGGTGAGAATTCAGAGGTGAAATTTTACTTCCCATCTCCAACAGCATTTGAAAGAAAGATGTGGCTTCCAGTTTGGACACTGCCCTGAAGTAGCAAGTCAGCTGTATGCAATACCAGCAAGCTGTTAGTCCATCTGCGTGTTGTCTGTCCCTCACCATGCCCTGGCAAACTTTACCATGCAAAGGTGCTGGTACCAGACTTGGAGGATAAACGAGCTTGTCACCATTTCCATCCAGCATTTATCACCATGTTACATACCCTAGGTTACCATAGTTACAGTAAGTTCTCCAGAAGAACCGATGAATTTTAATCCTGAGGTGCACACCTCATAAAAGGGGGAAAAATCTCCAATGTCCAACAACTTGTAACTGGAAAGCAGACAAGGAAACCAGCTCCTAGCTCAAATAAAAATTTACACACCTCTCATCTTCAGCGATAAAAATATGCTATTTAGCAACACACATCCATGAAGAGAAAGGAGGCAAACACAATCTGTATTCTCTCTCCTCATACTTCATGCTCCTCCCCAAGAAGACACGTGTATTTTTGCTTGGCATATCCCATATTCCTCATACCCACCTGACACGTGTTTTATTTTGGTCTCATGCCTCTGTCTCTCCTCATCCTACTTTACAATTTCTAGCCAACTCATTCTTTACTCCCTGTCCTGTTAAGGACTTGAGTCTATCCCCAGTAGGTAGGTGATTTGCATCTCATCTGCTCCTTCCACTTTTAGAGCCAACTCTTCGTGCCCGTCTCATCCATTTGGGAGCTATGGATAAATGCGGTTTCCAGAAAGGGATAAATGTGCTGTCTGTTCACACAACTTCAAAGCTATGGGGAAAAGCTTGATGGAACCGAGTAAGTGGTAGCAAAAGTCAACAGAACAAATTCTCTGGAACTGGTTTTGACTGGTGGACCAGAGGACCTTGAATCTGCTTCCATCAGCTGCTATGCACCCCAACCAGACAGGGTCAGGCAACTCAGATTCAGCAGACGCTCTAAGAGCGAACGCAGGTCTTGCAGCAGCGTAATACCACAAACTGGCTTCAATACATTTGCAGTAATTACTTACATCCAAGCTTTAATTTACATGTTCAAAGAAAGCGAAGTATTTTATGTGAAAGCTATGAGACCCAAGTTTCTGCAGATCCATATGCCACCTCCCCCGAGCAGATGAGATCCAAATCCAATTCAGTCCCATGACTTTCTTCAGTCTTTGCTGCTCAGTACTTCTAAATTCCCACTAGGTATTTGCAAGTGCATGCAGCTGTCTGCGTATCTGCAGGCTTGCAGGTGAAGTACACACATCTGGGGTTTTGAGACTGAGTTTGCTGCTGTCATTTAGCAGTCCCCCCCTTCTTCAACACACTCAGGCTGCACAAAATTGGTACTTTCCAGTTGGGTTATACTTATCAGTGTGACTTAGAGATGTGATCTTTCCACTCCTGACCTTCAAGTGGTCAGCACAGCCAGATGTTTTACATAAGATATAGGCTACCAGCTTAGCTTCCTCTGATTTCTTTTGAAAAACAGCCAAGAGAGGCTTCTCCTTTCCCTGGTATGGTGTTTGGTTTTACTATGCAAAATGATCCCCCTGCATATTGTGTTCAGCAATGTGATAATTAAAAAAAAAAATCAGGTCTACGCAGGATGGTTACAAGTGCTAGAAGGCTTCTTCCTTGTTCAATGTAAAACAAAAGATGGGGAAGAGGCTATTTCAAGAGAACATGTAAGAAGTTGCACAGCACTGAAGCATGAGAAAAGCCTCGAAGCACTTTGGGACCAGCTCAGTGCTGCTGCACTGGGCTTCAGTCCCACACACTGGCAAGAGCAGAACTGAGCACCACAAGTACTCAAGTGCCACGAAAGGTGCGCTAAGGCTGGGACCCATCCAGAGATCCAGGTAACCTTTCCTGAACCCACACGAGATGGACAAGGGCACAGCCTGGGGCTTCACAAAAGCTGGAGCCATGGCAGAAGCACGGCCAGACAGATGCTTCCTTGGTTACTGTGTGGTCACACGAAGCTCATCCAAAAGCTGAGGGAAACTGCGTGGCATCTCATATGAGTTAGCATCTGTAGACTCTACCATTTTTCTGCCATCTTCAAAGGGCTCAAAATTCACTGGGAGTCACATAACACTGAAGAGATCCCATCACACCTTACGAATCCTGTTTGAAGAGGTAAAATAACTAGATCTGCCGCTATGTCTGTCATCACTCTCCAGTCAGCCCAAACTTGGTGCTGTTTTTGAGGGAGAAATCATTAGGAAAATGATCACCACACCCAGGTCAACTGTAGGCAGTCTAAAGAAACCAAAACCAACAACAAAACCAGATCCATCTTCAGAGCAGAAATAGTTCAGATTTTTGAAAACTAAAACAAACAAAAACCTCAGCACACCAACAAACAACAAAGCAAACCAAAATACCCCCCAGAAAACCACCAAAAATCCAGATGTCCCCTTTATCAGGGGGCATTTATAAATTAGTTGCTATGGAGTAGTTTTTAAAAGTTACACAGATCACAAATAACCACATAGTTTTCAAGAACCTTTATACATCATCTTTTTTAATTAATTAGCTTTACAAGCAACTTGAGAGCTCTTTCATAATGAACACTGCTTTTCAAATTACACAACTTTATAGGCAACCTGTAAATGAATCCTGAATTTCTTTGCCTGCTATAGATAAAGGTCTCATATTTTACAGCCGGCTAACATAATGAATAAAAATAGCATTATGAAGCTTTATCTTTAACCAGGACTAGACACATACAGATCATAAGACAGTTTAAAAAATAGTTTTAAAACAAGGACCTGCTTGGTGATGCTCAAGACTGAATATTCAACCGACATGAAATGAATAGTTTCTAAAGGACACTGAAGAAATGGCTGACCTGATCTGTTGACCCTACTGTAATGACTTGCATGGAGTGAAAAATTAAGCACTTTTTAAACCTGTCTGGCAAGCACAAACCTATGGAGTGATGAGAATTTGATACGCCATGTAACTGCAAAAGTCTGAATTACAGAGGGACTGAAATGAGTTTAAAGGCTTATGCTTACATTTCTAAAACAAAACCAACCAAACCTCTGCTAAAGCAGTACTTAAAGAAGATGTAGAAGAGGTGGCTTTTTTTTGCTTGTTTCATTGGTAGCCTAAATGCACTGCAGACCAGACAGTAATGAAGATTTGCACTCCTTGGCCAGGTTGGCAGAGGCACTTACAGTAAAGGTATCCTGTCTGTATTTCTGGGGAGGAAAGAGGAAAGAGGAGGAGAACTGTAAAGGGAAAGAACTTACTGAAAAAAGAGGAAAAGCAAAATCAAAACAAAACTGGGATTTCTGCTGGTTCTCCTAAACGATATACTGATACTGAATTTTTTCCCCCGTCAGTTTGTTACTAAACAATTAGCTTTTTTCATGTTTTACATGAACAATAGTAATCTTTTTAATAAAAAATTACTGAGCTTTCCATAGAAAAGGTCTCTAATTGAATACAAACTATACAGATGCTAAAATTGTCACAAGTTGTAATATATACAGAAGTATTTCTGTACACTCACATTGTTTTGGCTAAGTAAGGAAATAAGGGACAGATAGAAAACTGCAGTAGGTAAGCTGATCAAACCCCAAACTCCTGTAAATATGACTGCTGTCTTTTATAGGTTTGCTTTTGTTTTCTCAAGCTTTTAAAGCTCAGGAAAAAGAATAAAAAAGGAAGAAAGAAGAATAAAAATAAATCATCAGCATCCAAAACATCAATTTCTTAAAAATAAGAATATCAAAGTTCCCGCACAGTTCACTTTTATTCTGTGATGTCCCCTCTCCTTGATAAAATGAAAACAATGTAAAAGAAAATAAAGGCTTTCTAAGTAAATATATACCTCAGTACTGATCAAAGGGCAGTGCCTTTCTGGGGAAATCCTTCAGCACGGTGAAAAACCTAAGGATGTATTGCACAAGGAGCCTACAGTGATGCACTTCAGCTTCAGTGTGCCAACCACATCCTTGATACTATGCAAAAGATCAAGGTGTCAACTTACAGACTGCATGGGACACCAACACTTGAAAAGGAAATTTTTTAAAAGTGAATTTTAGATATTTTATTAACTTATATACAAAGGAAAAGGGGGGGTGGCAAGAATTCTTTAGAAAAGGGAGAAAGCTCAACATTTTCTGTCAAGTATGTAAGGAGGTTCTGGGTACCTCTAATAGCCTAGGAAAGCCCTTGCATATTCTCGATGGTATTTACCAGGTCCCCAAAGCCAATGACAGCAACCGATAGTGTCAAGTTCACTTAGTGCCAGTCACTTAAACCAAACAAAAAAAAAACCCAAACCAAAAAAAACAAAGAAGAGACAGAAACTTCCCCTCTGTGGATTCAACATACAAAACCACAAACTGAATGTTACTAATAGCAAGATACTGATTTGCTTCTGTTAATAAGGTTCAAGAGAACATAGTCAAAAACAAACAACAATACAGCAGCAATCTTTAAAAGTTAAGATTAGTGTGAGATATGATATAAAACAATCAGGTTTTTAGCTGGTAATTAAAGTGCTCCTTTTCTGACTTAAGGTGTAAAGAAAATTAAAGTGATTATCAGTTACTGGCAACCCTTACATTAAATTAGGTCTTTTATGGCAGAGGAGAACAGTATGAACAGTTTTACAAAAATAGATCCATGTTATTTTGGAGAATACTGTAATTTTTTTCTCTTTTTTTCTTCTTTTTTTCAGTTTTTCTTTTCTTTTTTTTTTCCTTTTTTTTTTTTTTAAGACTCAATTTTGATAAACTGTACCTGGTCATACAAAAATTACCCAAAATTCAAACTTTTACCATATAAAAAAAGGGAGAGATGAATTGGATTCAGCTGGATGACAGGTCTGGCAAAATATAAGGATGGACAAATTCTATGTAGGGCACTTATTTATGTCCAGATGCATATGCTGTTTCTTACTGATTGCTTATCTTCTTCACGTAAGCAGTCACAGGCCTGGAGTCACAATCACATAGTACAATGCTTCAGCAGTCAAAGAATCTTCTATTTGATGCAACATTGAAACACTGCTTCTTTATTAAAATGTTGGTTTGTTGTTGATTTTCCTTTATCTTGTTATTCACATTCAAAAGTTAATAGATAGCATAAAGATTTATCAGGGCGAATAGCAAGGGGAGTTGCTAAATCAAAGGCTTATAAAACGTCTTTCCCAACTGAGTCAGAAGGTTTATTAAGTTCAACCCTCACACCTTTTTCACCTGCAAAAATATGAAAAGGAAATCAGTATTATTTTTCAGCATTTACCAAAGTATAGTCTATAGAACTGCTACATTACTTTCCAGATTAGTTTTAAGAGAGTACTTCAAAGACTGTCTAGTACATATGAACTATCCAGATATGTATTTTTGTACGCATGCTCTGTATCCTGTGCTCTGTGAAGTTAACGAACCATACCCATTATCTCTGAAAGCTGGCATTTATTTGCCCAAGTAAAAAACTGGATACTTCACATCATACACGCAGTTCTGAAGTTCATCATCTTGGCCTTAAAAGGTAAGCTTTAAGAACAGCCAATTGAGAATCTAAGGATATTCTCCATTATTCTGGATCAGAATATCCAGAGTTTCTGGGTATTTACCTTTGCAATGAAACTTGAGGGATTTTTATAACATAACATTACATTTGACTTGCTGCTAAAAAATTACCAAAACAAACCCACACCTCTCTTCTGCCCTTTTCTCTAAAAGTTTGACTATCAAAACATTAACGGACACAGTATCCCATATTCAAGAAAAATTCACACATATTATGTGTGGTTTTAGTTAGACTGAAACTGTGCCAAAAACTAATAGCTTCCTATTTTATAAAATTGTAGAATAAAATGTCGTATTTTAATATAAATGGAAAATAAAAAGCATTCTTGTTATGGATAAAATGCAAAGAATGCAATTTTAATTGCAAATGAAACTCAAATCACAGCAATATGATATTGTAAACCAATTATTGGGCAAACTGATACCAAAATTTTTACAACCCACCAACCCAGCCTTCCTTCCTTAAGTGCCTGCAGTTTAGGAGGACCCTGGAGAGGGAGGTGGGCTGTGGGGAGCACCTGAAGCACTTCCCTGCACTCTCTGAAAGAGCAGCAGCGAAAGCTGCATGGAGACAACCCAAAATCTGACACGGCAAGGCTGGCGGTCACACACGTGTGACGTGAAGCTCAAATGACACACAGACAGACTTCCTGACTGCTTGGGAAGTGCCTCGCTGGTCATGTCTCACTGAGCAGCAGGACAGCCTGCCTGGACGTAGCAGGAGCTGCACTGCTCATATCGCTCCCAAAATGCACAAAGTCACCAGCAGCTGCACCGAGGGGAACTGAACTAAACTGCAGCTTTGTGAGCCACTAGATAGTTCTGGTGCTATTTACCAGCTTCACACGCCTACAAGCAGCAAACAGAAATATGATTTGTAAATGACTGGCACATGTCTTAATCATTGATTTTGGAGCATTTGATGAAACCATGAAGAAACTGGCCTTAAGCATATGTGCCCCTGGGGTACACCTGATTTAGTTTTATTTTTAAACTAAGGTAAGAAACACAAAATCGTGATGGCAATTACAAGCATGGCAGAAGTCCTAGACTGCTTCTCCTTATAATGCTAATTTGAACAGGAAAATTAGATCAACTTCCTCTTGAGGGAGAAGCCAGAAAAAGAAAACAGATGCTAGATATGTGGAATTGGAAATGGAGGAAGTAACTCCATTCTTTGATTCCAGATTTTAACTTTAGGCTTTTGTTTTTTGGATATAGATTCTAGTCCAGTTAAGTTGTATTCACTTGCTGAATCGCTGTATTTGATCAAAATTACTTCCTGGGCTCTGAGTTCTGTCATGCCTGACAGTCGCTGGTGTATTTATCCCCCATACCTCTTAGGGAGACAAGACTACTGAGCAGCCTCAGGAAGCGTGAGCAACACAAGGCACTGACCTGGATTTCCCAAGTCACTGCCTAGCAGCTCAAACACTGCATCACCTTCTCTGTAGAACCTGACTCTGAGTTATGTTGGTTTTCTCCTTCTTTTTGTCCACAGAGTGGGTCATGGAGACAATTTTGGACTACTTAGGTATTCTTTCAGAAAAAAAGAACACAGAAGATATTAATATAATACATTACCTGTTAGATATTTTACTTTAGCTCGTGCTCTCTCATCTGCATCAAAATACCACACTGTTATTGCGTACCTAGGGAAACAGACAGGAAAAGAACTCCTGAACTATGAAGAAAAAACAGTGAAGCACTTGACATAAAACATGACCTGAATGAGACAACACATCTGCAGTCTGACAGAAGTTTTCATGAAGCACAAAGCAAGCAGGCTTGCCCCCCTCCCCCTACTAGTAGGTATCATCTGAACAGTCACTGAAAGGGTGACACTGATGCTGTAAGTTTACACTTTTTCCTGATGAGTTGCTATTGCCCAGAACCTGTAATATAGTCCCTGTCCCTATCACTTTGTTCCATGACCTCATCTTTTAATTTACTTACTCAAGTCCATCACTGCAAAAACCATTTTTGTTTTCGGTTTTTTTTGTTTGTTTGGGTTTTTTACATTTGCCATAAGGAAAGATTAACTACTGCTCCTCTGGTTTTCCGCTGTCCATATGGGATTTAAATATGAAATGCCAGCTATTGAGGAAAGACTTTACAGAGCTTTAGTAAATAGCATTTCACCCTCTGACTCTGCTGGGAGCACAAAGTGGGAGGGGAGAGCAGTGCAGCCTCCCAAAAGGCTACAAGAGGACATGCAGATGGCAGTTTCAAGCTGCTTTTTGCAAAGGTACTTGTGTTATCTCACAGCTCCAGTCAATGTTCAGTGCTTTGGCCTAGAAAACCTGTTGAAACGCGGGCAAGGGGAAGTCTGGATCAAGGACTCCCAATGAGTTACCTATTAACGCTGTCTGGTAACACCACTCAAGACGTGGGGCAGTGAATGCAGGTACCTTTAGCACCATCCACCTCCCTGCACTGAGGGACAAAGGAGATATCAAATCCCCTCTGTGACTCAGACTGGGAGCAACTTCTCTAACACTCCAGAGAAAGAGATGATTTGTGTATCAATGGTCATTGCTGCCCCACAGCCCTCTTCCCAATTCCTAAACTAAGCCACCCCTAAAGAAGAGAGAGTGAACGTGACTATCTTCTAACAACTCTCTCAACCTCAACAAAAGAGGACATAAAAGTGAAGCACCCAGTCAATCTTCCAGTCACAGCGTAAGAGCTAAGGACAAAGGAAAGGGAGGAGGGTGTAAAGCCATCACAAATAAATAATCAAGTCAACACCCCCTGGCTAAGGTGGGGTCTGCTCATGGCTCTGTGTGCTCCTGACCTGTCAAGTAACTTCTGTTTCCAGTCCTCTCCCCTACTCACCCAGGAGGATTTTTTTCTCCCAAGTAAGAGATCAGACATCAGTACAAACTCAGCAGCACAGCAGAAGCCTGACCTTTGCCATAGTGCAACTGGGACTGCACATGAAAAGACCTGGGTTCAGGCGGTAATTTCGTTTCACTCATTTCTCATTAGGATTCGCTCATCTCTTGATAAAAGAGGCATCATGCAATATACAGCAAGCACATTAGTCCTACCTTGTAGCAAATGCTGGCTGTACTTCATGAGGGTTGCGGCGATCAGACCAGAAGAATAGCAGTCTATCAAATTTGGGTTCAATATCAGCGAATTGGGCTTTACCTTCTGGAAATATCCGAAGGATGCCTCCACTTACCTACAAATTATATATTTAAAACCAGTGCTTGAAAATGATGTCTCATTCTATTTAAAAGTACTGAATATCACATTTGAAAATATTTTAGACACCTTGAACTGAAATAAAAGTCCAATGCTACAGAAATTGAGTCTACAGCTTTTCTGTCAATACATTTAATCTCAAAAATTTTTACACCTTTTTCACTGAGTAATTTCAGAATGCCTGTAAAGATTAAACGCCCATTCATGTCTAAGTAAAAAGATGCAGTTTTATGTTGGTTGTTTTTTAGCTGCATTGCCTACTTGCAAAAAAATGGGCAAGACTGACTGATAATACACAAGTGGGTAAAAATATGCCAATATCGATGAGAGAAACATTGTATTTCTCCTCCAGGCTTTGAAAAACAATTGGACATACCTATGCTATCCAGAAAACAGCACAACTAGATGGAGTTAATAATTTTTAAGTCATGCTAACTTCTTCCTACTGATGGCATTGATATTATTAAACTTAATTACAGAGAGCTGTGGAAAAGAAGTAACAGTGCAAACAATAACAAGGTAAATTGATAAAAAAGATTGGGTTTTAATGGTGTTCTAAATTAGCAAACAAGTGACAATTTAGGTCAACTTCTCCTCCTAAAGAAAGTTTGAGCTTCTTTCTTTGCTAACCAATATATACTTGGTAAGATAACAATTTGTAATTTAAAATAGATACTGCAATAAATTAAATACCTTTGTTCATAAATTAAATATCCAGCTCAAATTTCTCAGTTACTGTGAAAATACCATTTTTTTATTTCTAAGCTCTGGTAAGTATTCAGTTATTCTGGGAGAGAAACCGTAATTCAACTAAAGATGTCATAAAGCTGCATTTTAAGATGTTCATTCCAACCAGTATATTTATATGTGAAGATGCTATCATGACAAAGAAGGCCAGTAATTTATTCTCTAATTGAAGGATCAAATTTGTTATTTCAAAGATATTTTGATATTTCAGAAATAGAAAGTTTCAAGTACATCCATTTCTGACTCAGCTTTTCAATCTACCAGCTTTATGTCAGTATGCCACCAGTCTCATTGCCTCATCCAGCTCTTGTAAGAAATGAACAGCACTACAGAAAAAACCCAAATCAAAAAAACCCTCTCAGCTGCAACCTGTGTTACTGATATATGGTGCATCCAGCTCACAGAAATTGACTGCTTATGTGCTTTTTCCACATTCTACTTCCTAAGTAGAATGAGAAAAGTATCAGTAGTTTTATGAGAAGTTTTTATGAGAATAAATGTTTGCATAGCTGACTGCACAGCAATCAAGGAGTAAATAAAGCTAACTTTGCATTACTCTCTAATGCTTTCAATACAGCCAGTTAGCTACATCCATTCCTCAAATCTACCTA